GACCTTATTGTTTGATTCTGGAGTGATATTGTAAGGAAAGATTGGATGTTAATCACTCTTCTAGTTAAAAGCGTTTCACCATCACAATGGAGCTACAAAACCCTATCAGACCCAGCCAGTTCATTCAACCAATCCTGATGTTACATTTTACCATGACAGCATTAGCTGGCATTGCCTTGGGTCTGCATTGGTCCACCTTACATTTTACCTCACTTAACATTTGCCTGTAAATTCCTTCAACAATTATGAGAATTTTTCCCCAAGGTCTGTGAGTGCGTGGCGGTCCCTGAACAACAGATTCACGAAGAATATCCTCCAGGCTTTTCATGTCTAAAATTCAAATAAAATTTCTCAATACAATACCTAATCACTGGATTATGGTTATGATGAGTTTCTAGTGAAAATAATGGCCTGCAGTATTTACCATATTTATTTCCTTCTCACCTTCAGCTTAGTGAGGTATTGTTCTAAAAGATTAATATCATATACATCTAACTGCATACTTAAGGTAACTTTCAAATACTTCCCAGATCTCTTATGGAGCTTCTTTGGTTTCTAAAATTTTCAGATTAATCAGCACTTACCTCTGCATCCACAGAGATGAATGATATCAACACAAAGTTGTAATGAGAAAGAGTTTTCTAGAGCACATACATTATAAGTACAAATTTAGTGGTCTTACCATTGTGTTTGAATACTTTAATTTTAGCTCGAGACAATCTGGCTCCCTGAACAAGAGATGAGTGATTCAATTCATCACTGACAATCAAATCTCCTTTCCCCACTAGTGTGGGTATGTGAGGGTCCCCAATAGGTTTTTCGGGATCCGGGATTTGGCTTATTTGAAGACCGGGATTCGAGATTTTGAAGGAAAAGAGGGACGAGATTCGGGATTCTATTTATGACCGGGACACGAGATTTGGCGATTTTAAAAGGGAAATGTCGCTTCAAAGAAACCGAGATTCAGGAATTCCAGAGTCTGAAATATGCAAAGAAAATCAAGCCGTCATCTTAGCTAGCTCATTTTATTAACGTCGGAAATGGCCGGAAATAGCCGAAGAATGACGTAGTTGACATCCACGTTTTCCACGACCCTATCACGCTCCTCTGTGACCCCTATGGTGATCTGTGCTCTATTTTCGTGAACTTTGGACACCTTGGCCGTAATGAGAATCCAATTTGACAATGTCTTTGTGACCTTTGTTATTTGTTGACCGTGATATTTCTAGTGTGAAGCTTATACAGATCCTGATCGGTGCGCGTGGGATATTCGACGCGGGGGAGACTAGCTAAGTTATCGTTTGCGTAGTTAAACGCGCCCTAGCGATGTCGATTAACATTGACAATGATGTTGTCGATGTTATTAGCTGCGTAGCTTTCTTTTAAGAGAAGGGGAAGAGCGGAAATTCATTTCTTTGTAAGGAGAAATTTCGGGCACAACTTCCACGGAAGGAGAAGACATTAAAGTCTGTCAGGGAAACAGTTAGGTAAGTTCTGTTTTGTTGCCTTTACTAATTTAGACTTTTGGAACTATTAAACTGCGAATGAAGACAATGAATTGCGAGAATTCGACAGTGAAAAATGACCTGGCAAGTTTTACAACTAATAATGACGAGGCCGACGATGCTGTTGGTGGAATTCCATCGTTGGATCGAGAGGCGACTCTTTTCCTTGGAACGGTTTCACGTTTCGGAAGAACTGTTCGCTTCAATAGCAGAATTATAGTTTAATAGCAGCGAATTGCTAAAGAAGCTCCTAGATGATAGCAATCGTCAAATAAACATTTCGCATTAAATTAAGCTGTAGGTGACCAAAGCGTACTATAAGAGTTTGTATGGATTTTATTTCAAGCTATCTCTGTTTTTCCTTTGAAAGCTACAATACAGTGACGCGTACCTTTAATACGCGTCAAAATCGGTCAAATGGCTAACATAAGCGTTTCGGCGACATAAAAACGACGCCACTTAGAGAGGTTCAAACTTTATCGTAGCTTTTCAAAGGAAAACAGAAATAGTTTTCGTTCCAAATTGAAATCCGTACAGGCTCTTATTTCAATCTCTTATAGTACGCTTTGGTTACCGGTGATTACGGTATTTAGGGGAGGAGCCAGTTTGACCTCGATTAAAGTTGTAACTCTTTCTCGTTCACTCCTCTGCAGCTTATGGTATCAAATTTATGGGGTGAGATTTCAACTTCCAAGAGGCAAAAAAAAAAAAAACGGTCTAAGAAGGCTGGGTGAAGTGGTCCAAGCCAATTAACAAGTCCTGGGTCCTAATGTGAGCCGTGACGTCGTCTCTTTTCAAACTATACACAGGTTTTAATCTACGCGAATTTTTTGACCAACAAAAATTGCTTGAAAATTAGTTGGTTAATTATCCTCCTGTTATTTATTCAGAGTCATCTTTGATCCAGTTCATCCACAACTATTTGAGGAACATGTTCGACATACAATGCCGAAATTTTTTCGCAGCTCTATGGCGAAAAATGAAAATGTCTATAATTAAGCTGAAGAGCTGTTTCCTTCTGTTTTCACGATTTGGCAGTTTTTCTTTCGCCTTGAATACTTGACCCTGAGGATATCCCCAACCTCGTCGATTGCGTTCAAAGCCTAAAGAGTAAAATACAATTACCCTGGGTTAGAAACGCGAATGAAAACACACACACGAGATACAAGACGAGCAAGAGTTAGTAAAAGAAAATTTCGTAAAAAAGGTTGTGCTTAATCGTCGTGGTAAAGTACAATAATGATGAAGTAGTATCGTTTGTCTCACGATATA